TAGGGTCCAGGGTTTAGGGTCTGGGGTTTGGGGTCTGGGGTTTAGGGCCTAAGGATGTTACATGAGTTAGAAATGGAGCTGGTAGAAACCTTGAGCTGGCTGCGCAGGGGTTTAGGCGCAAAGGACATGCAATGAGGGCACCTCCTTTATTGTAAGGATGATACCGTCTAGGACAAGGGTTCATATCAGGGTCCCGTATTCTCTGAGACCCACACACGCTGCAGTCAGTCTCCAGGCCCAAAACCCTAAATCCAAACCCCTATACATGCTAAAAGCCTTATAAACCCCAAAAACCCTGAAACCCCAAACCCAAAACCCTACAAACCCTATAAGCCCTAAAACCACACCCTAAAGCCCTAAACCCAAATCCTGCAAACCCTATAAGCCCTATATATATATATATATAAACGTCTAAACCCAAAGCCAGAGGTGCAGGGTGTGGAGGTAATTCCTCATCTCCGTCAGCACCTTGAAGCCTTGCTGGCCCCCACTTCCTTAGGTCATTTTGGGGTTTAGGGTTTAGGGGTTTAGGGTTTGAGGTTTAGGGGTTTAGGGGTTTAGGGGTTTGGGGTTTAGGGGTTTAGGGTTTAGGGGTTTAGAGGGGTGTGGGGTTTAGGGGTGTAGGGCCGAAGGCCTACTTACTCTTCACGACGTTGGCATTCTTCTTTGCTTCAGGTGCTAGGGTTTGTTGCTTGAGGGTTGGGTTCTGTCGGGGGAGTTTAAGGCTCTTGTTGAGGGTCCGTTGAGATTTAGGGCTTTAGCTTGTTGTTGCACTCTCAGGGGCTGAGTACCATAGCCCCAAAAAGGTTAGGGCTTAGGGTTTAGGATCTAGTCTTTTGAATCATAGTAGGATTATATAAGCCCCAAAATGTTAAAGGTTACCTACTCAGCCCGTAAGAAACTTTATCATGCACCAGACCAGGGCTAGGGGGTTGAGGGCTGGGGGGGCCTTCATGACCTGTATCCAGCCCTTGCGGCAGAATTAGGATTCAAGGCTTAGGGTTTAGGGGCATTCAAGGTTTTGCGGATTGTATCCCGGAATGACACGTACGACATTCGGTGTACCCTAAAACCCTAAACCCTAAAATGTAGCTTGGGCTTCAGGGTGTCGAGTAGATGCCCGGCAGATTACAAGCCAAGACTGTATATGCGGTTTTGACTAGAGGCCACTTGTAGGGTTTGGGGGCTATACTAGAATACTACAATATACTGAACAATTCTAGAATATACCATAATAAGCCATAGTATGCCAGAAGATGCTATAACATACTACAAAGAACCATAGAATGCTCTAATCTACTCCCAGAACTTCTTGCCCTCCTGAAGCCTCGATTCTCAAACACAAACTGTAGCTACTGTCCCCGAAAGCCTAAACCCTACAAGCCCTAATCGGCCCTAATCTCTCTGTACCCGAGAAGCCCCAAAACCGTAGTACGCAAAAAGGAGCTCTTCAGAAAGTCAAGCAAGGTAATCCAGCGCTGACCCAAGCCCATTAGGTAAACCTTGCTTTGGCCTGCAATGAGCCAAAGGTTCAAGAGCTCAGGGGCTTTTGTGCATAGCTCAAGCTTTCATCCCTGAAACCGCTCTAACCTTAGCCACCCGGCCCATGGACGATACCAAGCCTGAGGCTAAATAGTGTACCGTTGCATCACGGCCAGATGCGAAACAGCAACGATACGACATAAATCTTGCACTTCTTAAATTGAAACCCCTAGCTGCAGAAGATTCCACATTCCCGGATCCTCGGCAACATGAAACCCTGAACCTGCTCTTCTCTAAACTCCTGAAGTCTAGGCTTCAACATGAACGGTCAGGGTACGGGTGTTGACGAAAACCAGGACCGGCCGGCAGTCAACTTGGTTCAAGCGTTCCGGGATCACCTGCTGTCTGGTTGAGGGTGTTCGGGCGTAGGTTTAACCGTGCCATGAACTGCTTTCGGAGATCTAGGTCTTTTGTCGGCAACTGTTTAGGGAAAGAAGCAGCTCCAATCTAAAGCCTTGGGAGCAACCCGTCAATATCTTCTGTTGGACAAGTTGATGGATGTTGCGCTCGGATATGACATGATGATACAGTCGAAGCCCCAAAGTTTTTTAAACCCAACAGCCTCAACGCTTAAGAGTAATGTGTAGGGAATCCCAGCACGATTTGTCCTTCATCCGCTTCTTTCAACTTCTTGGGGTGTACTAAAATAGGGGGAAGCCACGGCCACCGAAGCCCTGAACCCGGGAGGCGAGTGGAGAGGGGGGAACCAGGCCTGGCGATGGCTCCAGCGTGCCTCCCGGCCTCTGGGAATCACCTTCTCCATGGCGGCCTGGGCACTTCGGCCAAGGGACGTTTCGGCTCGGGGGGGCTCCCGGACTCTCGGGTGCTTTTGGGGTGTTGTAAGGGTTCAAAAGCAGAAGCAAAGGATAGTCAATGGCCAGGGTTCGGGCAGCAGAATTCTGGGCGGGGTTCTGGTCATGTTGTCTTCGGGGGCAGAAGGGCAGCATGGGAAGTGGCAGGCTCCTCTCTCTATCGTCGTTCAACACAGCGCGAGAGGAATGCACGTGGCCCTCTTTCGGAATCTTTCAAAGTACTGGAGACCAGAAGGTACTTGGCCTTTGTGTGTCTGTTTGTAGTTTTCCAATAGCGAGCGCAGCATAGGGAACATGGCGGTCTAAAGTTTCGGCCATCCACTCTACAGCCTCGCATTGCTGCTGAAACATCAGGTCATAAGGTATTGGAGCAACCCCCCCGCAAATTAGTTTTGCCTGGCCTTTCGAGGGAGAGCATTATGCAGTGCCTTTTTCCGCATAGTCTCATGAAATCTGATCGATACTCTGTGCAGAAAAAGTGCCTAGACTCTAGACTCTTGGGGGTTGGGACCAGGGGTGTGGAATTTAGTCTGAGTCTTTAGGTGCACGTGGAGACCGTGGAGAGCGGGCTGAAAGCTGTGTAAGAGTCCTGGGCTAGGAAGGTCCTGGGAGGGAATCTCGAGACTTTGCGACGAAAGGTCCAACACTCAAGAATAGTCCGAACCTGGAAGCTCCAACCACGCCAGTTCACAGGCCTGAGTCCTGGGTTATGGCAAGATCTACCTTCATGAGCTCCGATTCCCAAGGCATAAAACTTCCGGATTGAGGTTTCGGTTTGTAGGGCTTTCGGAGTTTAAGATTTGAACGTTGGGGGTTTCCGGGTTTGGGGGTTTGAGGCGAATGACTCGGACCTGGACGCCCAAGCTTGGAAGACCGAGTTGTCGCGAGGAAGGGTGAAGGCTCGCTACACAACTGTGAACCCGGACTCTGTAAACCCTTACAGACGCTTAAGACCTGTGTAAGTTCGTGAGGACCGGGTGAAATGCCAACGTCTAAACAATCTATGCACAAGATCCAAGACCTCATATCCTGATACTCTTCTCGCTTGGTAGATCTAAACTGTGCAACCCCAGAGCAAGCCCAGTAAAGTTTCCCCACCTTCGCGGTGACATGTAGAAGGTCGGTAGCGGTCGTGCGCCAGTCAGAGACGCCGGGTATCGCAACGGAACGGGAACCCTTCTTCGCATCCTCCGGGGAGGTGCTGGGGCTTCTAGATCGCGGGCTTTCGGATTTCGATCTGCGGAAATGAAATGTTGGACCTTCTTTCTTGCAAGTAGGACCCTCCGCAATACACCGAACAAGCATGAGATCGTCCGCGCAGCACCGGTCTTCCTCTTTGTCTCTGCGCATATCGCGCCACGCGTGCGGAGCTCTATGGAACTTGCCGCAGAGTGTAGCAAGAGCCCCCCCAACCATGATACGACTATCTGAGAACCCTAAACCCTAAACCCTGTAGACCCCGAAGCTTCGGAAGTCCTCTGGCACGGTTTGCACGCAGTTTGCTGGCAGAACCAGACGCCGTAGCCTTCTCTGATCTCGGCGGCTGCCGATCATCTGCAAGTCCATGCCCGTGGATGGGTTCTCCTTACTTCCCCGAGGCCTAACAGAACAAACGTTAGAATACCAAATGCCGCATAAAACGCAAGCTGTTCTCAAAGGCTCGTATTTGAGCCAAGTCTCTCGCAGTAGTAGCAGCAGCGCCGACACAAGAAACCCCATGCCGGCAGCCAGAATTAGAAACAGCCATTCGTCGCTTCGCTGCCGCAGATCCAAAGCCTGTGCCCATTCCCAGTCGACTGAAGCACCCTGCATGGCGGGCCGAAAGTATGTACATGGCGCGTCACGGACCTTCTGCAGCTAAACAAGAGACGAAGGAGGCTTGGGGCTAAGTTGGGCAAATGTCGAAGAGCACCGAGAGCATATGAACCCCTAGCCTCGCTCGCAACCATGGCCTCCTACCGAAGTACTAAGCCAAGACCCCAACATCCATTCCAAGGCTCCGTCCTCAAATCAGGGATGCCTAAATTTGGAGCTTCGGGTTAATGGGTTGCCCTCAATCTGGGCTCGATGTCGCCCGAGCTGAATTGCTGCAGCAAGTTGGTCCTTCCGGTCGCTGGCATTTTTCGGTGAGTCTGCAATGCAGCCCTGGATCAGGCCACTATAATCCATGTACGCATGCATGGGCAGATAAACGGGCGGAGGCATGCAGACACAGATAGGTGGATAGAAGGAGAGATGCTGAGAGACAGAGGGAGAGAGAGAAAGAGAGAGACAGAGAGAGCAAAACAAGCCATGTAAGCATATGTACATACGCTGGGTACTAGACATGCTGATAGATCGATAGGCATGTACATGTATAATGTGCGTCTAGGTGCATATGTTCGAGTGGCCGCGCACATTGCAAAGACGCGCAAACATACAAGAACCCACAAACTCTTGAACACGTGCCATTTGCATGCATACGCCCACGGACGTAGGGTTCGTGGCTGCGGACTCCGTTGAACTTGTTTCGGCTACTGTGTAGTCGGGGTAGGCTTCGAACGCAATGCCTTCACGACTTCAACCCGAACCTCCAAACCCTAAACCCTAAACTAAACCTAAGCCCTAAACTAAACCTAAACCCTCAGCCCTACACCCTAAACCCTAAATACTACAGTCCCTAACTCCTTGATCTACTACGGCCATGGCTGGATTTCAGGTTCCAGGCCGGGGCGATGCGAGTTGAAAGTCTCAGGGCTTAGGGTTTAGGGGTT